GCACTCCAGTCTGGGTGGCCAAGTGAGATTCCAACTCAAAAAAAAAAAAAAAGAGACAGTTGTGTCCTGGAAACCAAATGAAAAAATACATATTTCAAGAGGGAAGAAATGTGGTCAACTGAGTCTTGATGCTACATCAGAAAGAACCAAGATTTCACCACCAGACTTAGTAAAATCCTTGTTATTGGTGACTTTGACATGGGCAGTTTTTTTCAGTCTAGTGGGACCCACAGAACCCTAGGAAGATAATTCTGAAGAGAATGGGAGCAAGTATTGCAACTTATTATAAATGGGGTGGGACGGGGGTAACCAGAAGAGAGACTTTTTTTTAAAAGACAGAAGATATTATAGTGTGTATATTTACTGTTGAAAGTGATCTAGTTGGGAGGAGAGGTTTGATTATAAAAGAGGAAGAGGAGAGAAATGCTTGAACATTGGCCTTGAGTAAGGAAAAGAAAACCCAATCTAGTGCACAGGATGAACGACTGACTTTAGAAAGGCGTATGGCGAATTCATCCATAAAGTCGGAGGAGACATATGGTGACTAGTCAATGGCAGATGTGGCCTCACGGGGTGGTAGAAGTTCTCTTCTGGTTGCTTCTATTTTCTCACCAAAATAGGAAGCAAAGTGTAGGCTGGCATATGTTGTAGTAACAGGCAGCCCCCTTGCTCCTGTATGTCAGCACTTCAACACATCCAAGGTCTATTTCTCTCTCTTGCTGAGTGTCCATTGCAGGTCATCTAGACAATGTGGCTCTGCCCTCATTCAGGGAGTTCGATGGCCCTCTGTGCTCCTCTACTGCCAAGATGGGGGAAAAGAAAAATGGTGCCCTGGCTCTTAAAGTCTGTCCTCCAAAGTGATCTATGACTTTTCATCTACATATCATTGACAAAACAAGTAATGCTACCACTTCCAACTTCCAGGGGGGGCCTGTGGAGTGCAATCTTACCAGGCTTCTGGGAGAAAAGGAGACCAGGAGATTTGAGAATGGAGAAAATGAGGTGTTGGAGGGCTGAGGGAAAAATGGGCATAAAATAGTGGTTTGGGAGAGTGGTTCAGCAACAAAATTCCATATGACTAAAAACTAGATGCATGGGGCTTGTATTAAACATGGTTAGGATGACGAACTAGAAACCATTTTATGATGGTGGAGGGTGCTAAATGAAGGATGGATCAGAGGCAAAGTTGTCAGGGCCACTGGAGGAACACAAACAGAAATGAAAGGTCTGGGAGAGCAAAGCAGATGAGGATGCTTGATTTGCAGAAGCATGTAAGAAGGGACATTCTAGGGAAAAAATGGCGTTGCAAGCCAGATGGTGAATGTGCCCTGCACCTGCACCTGCTGTGTTTCTTCCTGAGAAGCCTTGGCCCCTTCTTTTGCCAACCGTCTCTTGATTTCCTTTGAGTTCTTCCTGATTCATGCAGGCTTGATTTAGTCTTCATGGGAAACTCTACCTGTTTCTGCAACTTTCTTTACAAGTACATGCAAGTGGCTGGGCATGGTGGCTCAGCCTGTAATTCCAGCACTTTGGGAGGCCGAGGCAAGAGGATTGCCTGAGCCCGGGGGTTCGAGAACAGCCTAGGTAACTTGGTGAGACCTCATCTCTACAATAAATCACAAAAACTAGCCGGGTGTGGTGGCGAGCATCTGTATTTCCAGCTACTTGGAAGGCTGAGACAGAAGGATTGCCTGAACTCAGCAGGTCGAGGGGGCGGTGACTGTGAGCGTGCCACTGCACTCCAGCCTGGGTGACAAGAGTGAGACTCCAACTCAAAAAAAAAACAACCAAACAAAAAAAATGCGAGTTATCTTAAGTTTGTGTAGTGAGCCATAAAGAATTTTTCCAGTCATCTAAGGTATCAGGAGTTGAAAGACATTGAGTTGCTGAAAAAATTATGAACTGAGTATATGTAGTCTTAGAGGGGCCCCATTTTAAAGATGATACGAATTTTTTGAAGGAATACTATTATCTAAAAATGAGTTGTTATTGTGTAAACTTGAAAAACACTACCAACTTCTTGCTTTCCTTCCTTTCTTTTTTTTTCTATTTTTAGAGCTGGGGTCACCCAGGCTAGAGTACAATGATGCAAACTTGAACCCCTGAGCTCAAGCAGTCCTCCCATTCCAGCCTCCTGAGTAACT